CTCCCAAATCCTACAACAAGGACCTGGAGTCTGCAGAGGTGAGCAACAATGAAGGGTGGACCTTTTCAAAGGGAAGCAGGGAAGGTTCTAGGGGGCAGGGCCAGCCCCTTCCTTGGGTGAAGCCGGCAGCCCCTCTCTCTGCAGGAGCGGCGCGAGCGAGAGCAGCAGGACTTGGAATTTGCCAAGGAGATGGCAGAAGATGATGATGACAGCTTTCCTTGAGCCAGGGCCTGGGGAGGGGTGGGCTGAGTGAGACTGGCTTTTGTCTTTTCCCTCAGAGGTGCCCTGCCCGGGAACCTGGCCTCCTTTCCCACACAGCTCACAGACTGCGTATGTGCAGGGGTCAGAGATGCTGGGAGCTAGCTATCCGCCTCTTGCTACCATGCCTCTCTGTAGCTGGTGACAATACGCTGTGGGCAGGAGAATGGGTGGCAGTCTCCTGGAGGCAGGGTCCTGCCTAATGGTGTAGGCAGCAGGAGGGGACAGACAGAACCGTGGATTAGGGTGTGGACTAGGGCCTGGAGTTGGGACATGTTGGGTTGTATGTTTTTGAAGCTTCAATTATGATTTTTAAACAATAAAAAGTTCTCCAAAGCTCCTTGTACTCGTTGGCTCACAGTGTTGACAGGCTCAGGTGCTTTCTCTTTCTCAAACCCCAGTGTGATCAGGAGCCAGCAGATCTGCAGGGAAGGTCATCACGGTGAGGTGAACTGAGGTCAGGAGGCCCCGGTTTGGGGCTCTCAAATGTTGGGCAGATTGATGAGTGTCCTAGGCTGTCATCAAAGAAAAGACTAGACTATGGCCTCCTGACTCTTCAAATCAGGAGCACAAGCTTCCAAGAGACTCCAGGCAATAGAGATGGAGTCATTTGGCAGACTACTTGCCCATCCTGCATAGAATCTGGGTTTAGTCCCAGCTGTGCACGAACCACACATGATGGTACACACCTGTAGCCCAGCCCTGGGTCAGGCTCAAGAGCAAACTGGGCCATGTGAGACTGTATCTCAAAAAGAAGTAAGACGAGTGGCCATGGTGTGAACAAGAGGGCGGAACCTGGCAGGGTGGGAACAGTTTGCCCAGTGGCACTCGCTCGCTGCTAGTGAAAACAGAATTGGGGGCCAGGAAGGGGCGCCTCGGCTCCCCAGCCAACTCCAGCTGCTCACGGCTAGGGACCTAGTCTTGTCAAGTGTCCAGGGCTGACGGCAGTGCTGTCACTGGGTCAGTGCCGTTAGGCCTGTGTTCCTGGATCACTGCACATGCATCTTTGTCCCTGCTGAGCTCTGCCCTGGTTTTCCATCACCTCTCCACCTGCTCAGTCACTTAGTCACGTTTTTTGTGGCGGGGTGGATGGTAGCAAAGCTTTGTCTTGCTAGCTGTCTGTCAGCTCCTTTAGGGCAGGGCTTCTTGCCTCAGTAGCCACCCAAGTGCCCAGTGTGACATTTGGGCTACTTACTGTTTGTTGGGGAATGCACACTGACACACCTCACCAGAAACAATTCACTCAATATGTTTTGGTCTTTGCTTTGGTTTCTGATGCCAGCCCTGGTCACAGTGACCCAGCATTGTTACATTCTTCAAGCTAATGCCACCTCGGTATCATAAAACACATGAAGTTGCTTACATGAGATGGAAGTCCCTCCAGCTCTCCACTCCATCTTTGTAGATGATCTTATCCCTGTGTTCAAATTGTTCATTGCTGTTTTAAATATTCTATAGTTTTGCTTTCTGAGACAATGTAGTTTTGTTGGGCCAGGAGCTGGCTACACAGAACAGGCTGGTCTTAAACTTCCAACTAGCAAGGAGGTTGATGGAAAAAAATGGAAGAGCCAGAAAATTTTGGCAAATGGACCAACTGTAACAATGACAAACTCAAAATCCTAAACTCACCAAACCAGGAGAGGGTTTACTCTGGATCAGGTGGTAACCATGAGCTGTGATACTGGGCATTACCAGAAGACGTAAACTACACCGGGCAGTGATGGCGCATGCCTTTACTCCCAGCACTCAGGAGGCAGAGGCAGGTAGATATCTGAGTTCAAGGCCAGACTGGTCTACAGAGAGAGTTCCAGGACAGCCAGTGTTACAGAGAAACCCTGTTTCAAAAACAAACAAACAAAAAAACATTAACTACAGCCAGACGCTAAGCAGGTAAGAAAGGCCCAGGCTGCTGAGCTTGCTATACATACAGGCTCAGATTATGTGTAATATCAAAAACGCAAAAATGCACATCTAGGATCATAGACAAGGGGGCTGGAGAGATGGCTCACTGGTTAAGAACTTGTTGCTCCTGCAAAGAACCTAATTCATAACCATCCCCAACTCCAGTCTTAGGGGACCCAAGCTGTCACTGGGGTACACACACGTACATGATAGCAAATCACTCACATGAAATATGGAAGAATTTTAAACACACACACCATAAAGCGCAGGCTAGCCTCAAACTTGTTAATAGCTGAGGTTGATCATGAACTTCCTTGTTTTTATTAGCATACATTAACCATACATAACAATAGCCTTCACTGTGACACTTGCAGAGTACATATAATATATTTTGACCACATTTGCCCCTTATTTCCTTCCTGCTCATCCTCCCTGTCCCCTTTCTATTCTCCCGTCATTTTTTGGTGATCAGTGAATTTCTTTAGTTTTGGTTTTGGGGTTTTTTGCTTTGAGGGGGTTGTTTTGTTTTGTTGGAGACAGGGTTTCTCTGTACAGCCTGGAACTTGCTCTGTATGTAGACCTGGCTGGCCTCAAACTCCGATCCACCTGCCTAAAGGAGTGCACCACCACCACCAGGCTCCTTAGGATTCTTAGGATAACTCAGAAAACTTATTACAGGCATGGGCACCTTGCCAAGGCTACTGAAGAAAACAATCTCTTCCTCCCCCCAGTGACCATAAACTGCTGATAAATCCCCTGGGGGTGCAATGAGCCCCTTCTCTGATAGGATGCCAGGCCCAGACTCATGCAGGTAACCATTACAACAGTTGTAAGCAGTCAGGTGGCGATCCACGCCTTTAATCCCAATGCTCAGGAGGCAAAGGCAGGCAGATCTCTGTGAGTTTGAGGTCAGCCTGGTCTACAGAGCGAGTTCCAGGACAGCCAGGATTCTTACACAGAGAAAAGAGAAACTGTCTTGAAAACTAAAACAAGGGCTAGAGAGATGACTCAGAAGTTAAGAGCACTGGCTGGCCTTTCAGAGGACCAGAGTTCAATTCCTAATACCCACATGGCAGCTCACAACTATCTGTAACTCCAGTTACAGGGGATCTGACACCCTCATACAGACATACATGCAGGCAAAACACCAATGCACATAAAATAAAAATAATAAAAGAACAAATAAAAAACAGTGCAGTGGCTATGGTCATGTCATTTTCAGGAGAATGCTGTGTAACAGCCTTTCCTCCAGCTCTGCATTCTTTCTGTCCTTTCCAGTGACCCCTGGGCCTTGGGTAGTCTCACTAATGGCCAAGTGAGACACAGTTGTCTCACTAATGGCCAAGCATCCGGCAGTCACTTATTCTCAGCACTTTGACCGGCTAAGATACACTACCAATGTCTCCTACCAAAAGAAGCTTCTCTGACCGAAACTGACGATCTATGGGCATAAAAATCATTGTTTGGCGGGCAACTACACCGGGCAGTGATGGTGCATAATGATGGATGAGCACATCATGTCTAGACAGCAGAACAAGATTGGTAGCTTTCCTGCTGGGTCCTATGACTTCCCAGCCATAGACATTGACCATGATCCCAGCACTAGAGAAGACTCCCTCCTGTAGAGCCAGCCTCAAACCCAACAGGAAGCCTTTGGTTGCTCCACAATTGCATCCTGGAGGCCTTAGGTTCACGTTTTGCCTGGCCAGTCGGTAGTACAACATGCGAAGACCATAGCTGAGGGAGACAGGGGTGACAGCTCTCTTAGCAGCCTGCGAAGCGCCTTCATGCATTGTGGGCTCTAGGCAGCAGGGAGGAAGCCATCAGGTCAGTTCCAGCTTGATTTCTGTGTCTTGTGACCAGAACCTGTGGCATCTTCAGCGACAGAGTCTTAACCACTGAATTCTGGTTAGCAACTAGCAGCAGTTGTAATTTCTGCATGTTGCGTTGACTTCCCCCCAACCATAAAATTATTCCATTGCTACTTAAAAATTCATAGCTGTAATTTTGCCACTGTTATGAATTGTGAATATCTGCTATGCAGTTTCTGACATGCAACCCCTGGGGATCACAAAACACAGATTGAGAACCACTGAGCAAGTGCCAGGGCAGGCTCCAAAGCTACACAGAGAAACCCTGTCTCGAAAAACCAGAAAAACCAAAAAAAAAAAGGAGTAGGAATCTCTTGCCCTGTCTTCCCAAGCAGATGATGTCCATGACTGTGGCCACCAGAGGGCACCCTAGCCCCAGGAATGGCCCCGCCCAGTCAGCTATGCCTCAGCATCCAAAGATGTCTCTGTTCCTTGGCCCAGAAGGTGGGCGTGAACTAGCTCAGAAAGTGAGAGTCGATCAGTCAGACAAGTGGACCCGCCTCCTCTTTAGCCAGTAACACCCTGTTGGGACTGAAACAGAGGCTGGGATGTCCCTCCAATCACTCTTAACCTCTGAGCCATCTCTCCAGACCCCTCCAATCACTCATGACTGGGCAAGGCATTTCTCTCCGTGGCCCAGTTCACAGGGTTGAAAGCTCAAGGTCTCTTCCAGAGTTAACACTGGACAGAGTTGTAGGATTAGAGATGCATCTTCTCCTTTCTCGCCCCAGCCTGTGTCCACTCAAGCCAGATCACTTGATTCTATGGTATAGCGATCTTCCGGGACCCTGCATGTCCCAGTCCCCGACTCCAGATCCCCTAGACCCTCTACGGTAGGGTACTATGCCGGGAGAGTAATGCGGGGAAACAGACAGGCAAGGTCAGGTGGGTAAAGAGCCCCAAAGGGTCTTGATTCATTCAAGACAGACATCCGGTTTCCTCTGGCCTCTCTGCCGGGATCCAGGGGTTTAAGTGAATGAGTCATTGTGGGGGGTATTGGGGAGTTCCCAGCTAATCAGCCTGGGACAGGACAGCCTGAATGCTGGATCATTTTGTTTTTATCCAAATGCGGAGTGGGCACCGACAACAATACCCTAGGGTACTGTCCAGGGCTCCTGGCACTGAAGGAGGCAGCCAGCCGCCTGGGAGCTCATGTGTACAAAATGAGAACAATGGGCTTTTCCTCCTCTCTCAGAATGTTTGCCCCAGGTAAAGGTATCTTAAGAATCACAGGAGAAGGGGCAGAGAGTTAGAGTACTGGCTACCTCTGTGTGTCTGGCAGAAGGTGGAGAGACAGGAGCCACCTGGGGGCCTGAACCTTCCCAATGTCTGACTGAGTTCCCTCTGTAGCCTTCAGCCTTACTGGACTACTCAGATCAAACACCCTCGAGCAATTCAGGCCTGGGTGTGGCTGGAGGAAGAGAGTTTGGGGGGACGAGACGTCAGGAAGGAGCAGAGATTCCCCGATTTCACAAAATTTCGCAAAACAGCTTTTCCCCAACCCCCTGCATTGTCCTGGGCGACAGAAGAAAATTTGCATAAATCCTGGGAAATTATTACTAAGCCTGAGTTGCCCCAGCCGCAGGTAATTTCCTCCCAGGCCTTGATGGGGTTCTGTATAAAAGCCCCCGGGAGCAAGGCTCTGACAGAACCCAGAGCTGCAGCTCAGATCACCCCGAATCAATCCATGGCTCAACTTTCTGCCCAGAGCCGCAGGAAGCTGATGGGTGAGTGGCCCTGTTACCTGCCCTGGGCGTGGAGAGGAGGGAGGCTGGAGTGGCGAGTGTCTCAACCCTGTCCGTCTGCTGCCAGCCCTACAGCTGCTACTGTGGCACAGCGCACTCTGGACAGGACAAGAAGCCATCCCCCTGGTCTCTGTCACCTCTCTGCCACCACCCCTGCCTTGGCCCCAGAGCTTCCTGCTGAAGTCCTTGGAGCAAGTGAGGAAGATCCAGACCAGGAACTCGGAGCTGCTGGAGCAGCTGGTGAGTTAATTAATGCGGCAGGTGTGAGGAAAGGCCTGTAGGGAGGGCACAGGAGGGCAAACAGGAGGGGAGCAGGCTAGGGGGAAAGAGTAGGGGCAACGTTTGCCTAGTGTGCACAGGGCCTGGATTCCATCCCCGGAATCCCGACAAAACACTGAGGACAGGGACATGGGAAAAATGAGAGGCAGCAGCAGTGGGACCCTCTGTTTGGGACAGTAGCAGGGTCACTGGGAGCTGAGACATCAGTGGACGATGAGGGGACTTGGGAGGGAGAATCAGCGTGGCCCAGGCCAGTGCCCTTCAGCATCCTTCTGTCTACAGTGTGCTACCTACAAGCTGTGCCACCCGGAGGAGCTGGTGCTGCTTGGTCACTCTCTGGGCATCCTGCAGGCGCCTCTCAGCCGCTGCTCCATCCAGGCCCTGCAGCCGGTGAGTATTTGGAGGGAAGGGGGACCAGGGGGAGGATGAGGAGTCCTGGTATTAGGGCTCCTGGAGAGAAGGGGTGTCCTCTCGCACACTGCCCAACCCTCCTGCTGTCCCCAGACAAAGTGCCTGAGCCAGCTCCACAGTGGACTCTTCCTCTACCAAGGCCTCCTGCAGGCCCTAGCGGGCATCTCCCCCGAGGTGGCCCCCACCTTAGACATGCTACAGCTGGATGTTGCCAACTTTGCCACCACCATCTGGCAGCAGGTGAGCTTCATCTGGAGCAGCAACGGGGTAAGAGTGGTGGGGGTAGGGTCACACCAGCGCGCCTGGGCACCCTGGAGGATCTCAGAGGCCTGTTGTATGTATGGGGAGCCCCACATCTACTCCCTGCTTCCTTGAGGTGAGAAATTACTGTTGGTAGCGAGCTCCACAGGCCAGCTTACCAACTCCCTTACCTACAGTAAGGATGATCCCCAACTTCATCTCCTCCCCACAGATGGAAACCCTGGGGGTGGCCCCCACCGTGCAGCCCACCCAGAGCACCCTGCCAACCTTCACCTCTGCCTTCCAGCGCCGGGCGGGAGGTGTCCTGACCGTTTCCCACCTGCAGACCTTCCTGGAGACAGCCCATTGCGCACTGAACCACCTGGTCTAGGCCTGAGCAAAGCCCTTTGCATCCGGTTTATTTATCTCTATTTAATATTTATGCTTATTTAAACCTACTATTTAAAGACGGAGAAGAGAAAATGGAGCTCCAAGCTTCTAGGCCCTTCTCTCCACTCTTGAGTTTTGTTCTCCTGCTTGTAGCAGTGAGGGCAAGCTCTTGTGTCCTCCTGTCCCCAGGGCTGGAGGGAGATAGGTAAATACCAAGTATTGATTCCTGAGGCTGCTCTAGGCACCCAGCTCTGTGGTGGTACAAAGGGCCACAGTGAGCTCTACCACCCCGAGTAAGGGGCCACGGCAGCATCAGGAGGTCTCCCTTTTGGGAGACAAGACAACCCTGTTTAATATTTAAACAGCAGTGTTCCCAAACTGGGTTCTTGCATCCCTTGCTCTGGTCAGCCAGGTTTCCCTGTCCCCATAGGAATGAAGGGCCTGAAGCAGAGGCAGCCAGGTTTGGCCCTGGAATTTACTGGATTCTTTCTGAGGGCCTTGCTGGGCTGGGAGTGTGAGAGGGGAAAGGCAGGAGGAACCCTGTGGGGGAGGGGATGGCTACGGCACAGAAAGAGACGGGTCTACCCTCCCTGTGGGCCGCACTTGCTCGCTGTAACCAAGCCTGAGGATAATAAAGTGTTTTGAATCCAGTAAATGTCTTTCTTCCTTCTTGGGTTTGGCTGATTCCTGGCCAGGTGCTGGTGATTGGCAGGAGAGGCCAGTGCTGGGAGGAGACGCTCTGGCTCACCCTGACCGACCTGGGTGCCACTCTGTATGCCCTGAGCTACATGACAGGGACACAGCAGTGAAAATGCACTGTCCCTGCCTTGAAGCCACAGCTTGGGGAAGATGGAGCATGAGTCAGGGGGAGAGAGGGGGCAAATGACGGGGCTGGGGCAGATGAGCTGCAGCTAGGGACACTGAGCATGTGCAGAGGGCTGGTCTTCACCACTGTGAAGAGATCTCCACAAAGCTATCCACCCAGGAGGATGACACCATGCCTTTTACAGGCAGAGAGCTGGGTCAGAACTCAAGTTCTGCCTTGGCTGGCTTTCCCTTAATGAGCTCTATCTCCTCGCTATCATCCTTGGGAACACTTCCCTGCCTGGCTTGGCTCCTGAGCTGAAGATGTCTGCAAGGGTGGGTGTGGCCATGAAGAGCACTTGCAGCTCCCGTGGCTCAGAGCCGCCCAACCAGGCCAACCTAGGTCCTGTCCTCCACATCCCTCCATAACCTCCACACCACTGGCTTCTCTTGTCCCTGAGCCTGTAGAGTATGGAGAACAGAGTCCTTACCCTCATCCCTCCAACAGTCTCTGGACATGACACACAGTGAACTCTGGGCCAGAGGGTGGAGTGTGCCTACAGAGCGAGACACCCTGCCCTGCACAGCAGTGCCGGGCCTTTCTCCAGGCCCTCCGGCTTCCAGTGAACAATGAGCCTGGCCTTCCCCACCTCCTCCCCACCACAGGACTGTGCCCTTCCCTGGCCACAGCACAAGAGACTTGCAGGGAAAAGATACTGGCCCCAGTCAGCCAGCAAAGCTACCAACAGCACTCGACAGTCACAGGAGCCACAAGGATCTTTATTTACAAATGAAGCAAGAGGGACTCCCCCTCTTGAGTTATAAAAATAAACTTATATACACACTGTGGCCCTATAAAGTCCCTCCTTGGAGTTCAGCTACTGCAAGAACTGGGGCCACCATCGGGACCGCTCGCAGTCTCTGGGTACTGGTGGAATGGACAGGAAATGACAGAAGGAACTGGGAGGTGTGGCTGGACACGGTAAGCAGAGGGCAGGAGGGGGTGAGGGCCTCAGACTTGGGAAGCATCCTTGCACCACTGGATGGGGCAGCCTGGGCTCATCCTCACTGTCCCTGCTGGGATGCTGGGTTGGGACCCCGTCCAGACTCCCCAACGTCCTCAGAGTGCAGCGATGGCTTTGGCAGCCACTTGCCGACCCAGGGGCAGCCTGAGGTCTGTGATGGCCAGCACCACCTTGGGGCTGGACATGGCAGACACCTTCACCAGTTCCGATACCTGACAGACAGATGAACACAGTTAGCTCTTGAGTGTGACCTCCCAGGAGGAAGACCCCTCCTTCCTGAGGGTCCCCAGCGCCCGCCTGGGCCACTCACGGTGGTAAAGGGCATGAACTGCAGGATGCTGCCCCTGCTGTCCTGCTCCAGACAGTCTACACACTCCTCCATGAACCACTGCACAAACTGGGTGTGGGGGCCGGCCGTGCGGGAGCCCAGGATGGAGGAAATGAGCAGGAACAGGTTGGCTGCGCAGAGGGGAACAAGACAGCAGAGCTCTAGAACAGGTCAGACCAAGAAGAAGGGGACTGAGGAGGGAAAGGAAGCAGCAGTGAGAGAGCCCACACAGGAAGGCCAAGGACAGCAGGCAAGTGGTGGGGCAGGGAGGCAGAGCAGAGGGGCAGTCAGCGGTGAGGGGACAGGATGTCAGGGGCCCAGAGGATCCCTCTGCCTCTGACGAGGAGGCCCTTGTAGCTCAGGCTGCAGCAGACAGGCACAGCTGGGAGGACTCACCCAGGACTCGGTTCAGAGGGTCCCTCATGTTGACTGTGTGGAGTTGGGAAGCTGAGAGGGAGCTGTTCATGGAGCGGTCAGCTGTGGAGTGACAGAGAGGGTGCTGTGTAAACTCTGACTCTGGGGAGTCTTACCTGTCCCCTGCCATCAGGGGAGTCTGGCACATGCGGGGCACAGAAGAGTCTGAATCTGGAGAACAGACGAGGGGAACGAGCCTCCGCGCACCACCAGAGGCCAACCCTGGCCCTCTGTGCGGCTGACGCTGCCTGATCCACTCAAAGTCCACTTTTCAGATGTACAATCTGTTTGCTCAGGGCCTGGCTAAGGTCAGAGGTGGTCCGCCAGCATCTTTCCTTTGCACACGGCTATGGCTGTGGCCTGGTCCTTATAAGGCTACACAGAAACTTCTAGGTTCAGGAGAAATCTCTGGAAACAGGAAACTTGGATGCCATACAAAAATCTTTTGGCAGAAGGAAAAGATGACATGGGTTGCCCTCTGGGTAGGAAGGCAGGAGGGCAGCCCCCGGTCACAGCCTGGCAGGACATGTTCTCGGCCATAGGGCGTCTCTGGGTTAGAAGGATGGTAGAGTAGGCCAATGGAGCAAGCTGTGCCTACATAGTGAACTCACTGCGCGCCCTGTCATCTTTCATCTGGTGACAAGAGAGAGATAACTGTGGGACTGGGAGGGCCCTGGAGGAAAGCTTCAGGTCCTATGGAGAGGAACAACCCTGTCCCCACCAGCCGGCAGCAGAGCATTCGCTTGGGGACAGAGGTGTAAGCTTCTGCCACACCACACTGGCTGACAGCCATCAGCGAGGAGCCAAGGCAGGTCCTTAGGGATGAGTTGTCCTAGCAAGCCCGTGACCTCCCAAGTGCTCACTGGGACTCGACAGAATGTTGGCGTCATCCTCATTGGAGCTCAGGAGTCGCATCAGCTTTGAAGGCTGCATGTCTTCCACGGGGAAGAGGCTGATATAGTCCTGGGGGCAGGAGTCACTGTCACACACCCAACCTCCCAAGTCTTCAAGGGCTGGAGAGGGCTGGAGGTGAGAGCTGAGTGGAGAGGAGTGAGCTTCCTAGTCCTGGGCCAGCATCCCCTGCGGTGGCCCTTCCCACACTCCAACCTCTGCCCTAGTGAGCAGAAAGGGCCCTCATCAAGGATACTCAGGGGCCACTCAAGCCACTCCTCCAGACCCTGACCAATCAACAGGCCCACATGCAGCTGACCTCAACCCCACCCTCTGCCTGGGAAGGCAACTCTCTGCTCTAAGTGATCAGAAAACATCTGCTGAATAAACAGCAGTGGCCTACCTCAATGTCTTCCCTGTGCCTCTTCTTCTGGCGGGAAGACGCCTGTCCCTTGTGGGAGGAGTAAGAACTCAGGGCGCACCACACAGCTAGTCTGGTGAAGGGTTCCAAGAAAAAAGGATGATTAAGAGAGTCCCAAAAGAGACTATGTGTGCTCCTGCTGAGTACGTCCTTCCCACCCCCACCCTCAGCAGGCCTTCCAACTGCAGCCTGGCTTCCTGGGGTGCCTCAACCTGGGTGGTCCACGCTTGGGGTGGATGGGGGACGAAAACCAGGAAGGTTCTGGAGAGAATCCTACTTGGCTAGTGCAGTGCCAGGAGGGTCCATAAGGCTGTGCCACTTGGAGGAGTCAGTGAGCAGACCGGGCAGGATGTGGCCCAGCAGGACCAGGGTCACCTGCTGCATGTCCAGACAGAAGATGGAGTAGAGAAGCTGTACCGCCCTCAGTGTGTGCTCCTTGCGAGTCTCCTTCAGCAGCTCCTGGGCAGTGGGCAAGCAGGAGCTGAGGCCCTGCACACCTGGGCCCTAGGCCTCTCACACCCCAGTCACTCTATAGTCAAGCCCAACTCCAAAGCGCTTCTGTCTCCCAAGGCCACCCAGCTTCCAGCAACCTCCCAAAGAAGCCTGGCCTACCCCAGCTGAGGACGCCCACAGCCCCAGCCTACCCCCGGCCCCGGTACCTTAATCAGGTTGTTGCAGAACCAGTAGACGCCGCCCATGTGCAGCAGGGTGTCAAGGATGTGGATGGAGCGGCTGTCCACCCAGCCCCTCTCCAGCACCTTGGCAAAGATGTCTGTCAATACCTCCTTGATGGGGCGCTTGGGAGGAAGCAGGTTCCAGTAGGGCATAGTGTCCACGCCCGTGGAGGGAAACTTGATCTGTGTGGCTGTCTGCTGAAGCACGTCCGCACACATGTGTTCCAAGATTGAGTTCATAATCACCACTCTGGGGGCAAGGAGAATACATGAAGGCATTACTCCTGGGATTAGGTTACGGAAACGAGGCTGAGGAATTAGACCCACTGTACACTAGGGAGGACACAATGATATTACCTACTACTGACAGAGCTTACGTGCCGAGCATGAAGCCTAGAAAGGCACAGGGCAGAGGTTTTCTCTTGCAGGTCCCACCAATCTATTCAGATTTTCTGTTCTCCCTCTCCCCCTCCAGCCTTTCCCATCCCCCAGGCCTGAGCTCTGCCAAATCAGGGTCATAAATAAATACAATCACTTCCCACTGAGCTGAGTACTTGGGGGAGGGGGTGTCCCCGCCCAGCCTTGGCCTCCTCCCAAAGTAAACTGTAACTTCCAGAAAGCCCCCAGGACTCTTCCCGGCCCTGGGTAGCTGGGCAAAGTGTTCCCAGCCAGGAATCCTCTCAGGAACATCTGGGGCTATAAAGGCAGCTGGGGTCTGGGACGCCTGGAGCACACGGACAAGGCTGCTACTTTCAGAGCTCCTCTGCCACCTGCACAGAGGAGTTCTGATTTCCACTGTGCCCACGTACATGTATGTATGAGTACATGTGTATACATGTGTGTAAGCATATACACACGTACATATGTGCACGCATGCACACACACACACTCTAGCGCACGCGTGGACTTGAGATGGGTGATGTCAAAGCAAATTTTCCACAGCAAGGGGAGAACAGGTGTGCTCTGACAGACCCTCCCCATACTTGGTTTCAGCTCAGAAAACATTCAAGCATCTGCCTTGTAAGCTGGCCTCAGCACCCACTCAGAGCTGTGCTCCCCCAGTGCCTCTCAAGGGCAGGA